TTCACACAACATCTGTAACTTGAAAATATATACCGAAACGATATTAATGGTGTATATTCTCTTGATAAAACTGACAACTGCACATGTTATGATGTGCTGATAAGTAAATGCATAAGTTTGTACAGGCTTATGAATTCAGAGCTCCTTGGTGTTAAACAACCAAATAACGTTAAAAATATTACTTTCTAATATAATAATAATATAATAATTATTTGATGTAACCCACCAAGTATCATCAGTATCTTTCATTCGGTTTATTTATGAGTCTTCAACCCTGGGGGAAGGCAGCACGGCGGAAAATTATTTCTGTTTCAGATAAATACCGAAGCTGACCCGAGATCCTTTCGTAACCTTTACATCATAAGTCTACTGTCCTCCGCCGGGCACACCATTTGCTGTGTTTTGTATGGCTACTAACGACAGGGAAATGTATGAAGAATGACTATTCCACAGCGATACCGTCATAGCAAATAACGCAACAATTATGAGGCATCCGAAATTCCAAAAAGTTAATTAATTGAAGATACGCAAATATTAAAACAATGAGGCACTATTCTTAATACCTTCAGAAGGTAAACTACAAGTAAGCACACCGTATTCCTTTGTACCGTTATTCATCATTTTTACTCACTCCTTTGGTGATCTGATGCTGATGTCTTTCCGGTGCTTCTTTCCTTTCAGAACTTTCTCAAATATATCTTGGTTTTCAAAACATAGCTCGTTTGTCATTCCACTAAGCATGTCGTAACCATCTAAGACAATGTTCTTTCAGTTTGCTTGAAATCATTGTCAGTGGCATATTTTTGATCATTTTTCTCTCTCATCCAATTTGAACTTTCAGTTCATGAGTTCATTCACAGATCCTACTCTTCTGTTGCCTTGCGTTTGCCTGTATCCAGCACTGATCATTCAAATTGCGCTTCAAAATCCAGTTCATGAGAGATTTCCACGCGGCTACCTTCCTTCTATCTGTTCATGTATAAGCCGATATCTTATGTCTTTGATTTTATTTCTTTGGCATCTACTATTTCAAATTATTATTGATGCCTTACCTATGAATTTATTCAATTTCAATAACTGGATAATATTTAAATGCGACATTTCGTAGGATACTGATATTTTGAGTCTTTTCTTGGTTGAATAGAATACCACAGCTTGGATGATAGCAGCAAACTTTCTTCTGCGTCACATATGAGAAGAGAGACCACAATGAACAAACGGCACAGTCCTGTTGCACCGACCTTATAGGATGCAGTGGCACAGTAATGAAGAAAGCAGCTTCGAACTCCAAAGGTGCAAAGTTCGAATATACCGAAATGACCAAATCTGTCTTAACTGTCCAGTCCCTTGAGTAAAGAACCCTTACCCCCTCCCTTTGCTTCAGTGCTACCGTGCAAGAAACAGGTAGCAAGTCTTTGACTTCAGAATAACAGGGACAGCGTGGTGCTACGATGAGGAGAGAGCAGAGCAGGCGAAAGGTACGGCCATGCCGTTTGCTGCAATTCGCCTTAACTCACCTGATAGCTGTTAATTCAATGTGATAATCAGTTGAATGTGTGATCTTGTTACTATTGTAATGAATTTGAACATGAAAGAAAAATTAGTAAAATAATGGACTGATCCTGTTAATTGTACAATTGCAAAAGAATTTTTGAACAAATATATTCCAAATTCATTCAAACAGAGGAATGGCTTCATAGTTCTGAGAAAGTTTGAGAAATATTCTTGTGCTGCATTTGCTAGATCTTGACGATCCAAAAATACTATTGAAACCTGAGCTGCAGAAAGTGCAAATAATTAGTAGGAGGACTACCCACATGAGGAGCTAGAGGCGATTCATCGACATCACGTGGCCAAGCTGGCACCAAGATAGCACCAATCTGCCCACCCCCCAATCCTACCACAAACATATTCGGCCTCTGTAGAACTTCCTTGCATGATCTTCCGACGCCACTGCTAAAGGCTTCTGCTGAGAACGACCTTACAGCTGCTGTAAACATTCGAAATGGAGTCCTGACGACAACCCAGAGGTTAACCACGGGATATGCAGATGAAACAGCGATCGCAAACAGAATAAAACATTACAGAACAATCGAATGTAACCATCATCACAAATCATAGTTCGTTGGTGATGCTGACCACGCTTCTTGAAGATAATGACTTTCCTAAATCGTTCACTCCTGGGAAGCGTTCACTGGCCGCAAGCTCAATGGAGGAAAATGCAAATTTAGCAAGCCCCTTGCGAACACAGACCTACTTCTAATGACAAACCTGACCTTTACCGTAGTACCCAACGTTACCTGAGACTTCGTTTCAAACAGTCGGACATCACAAAGTTTTGCAAGTTTGTCATCCAGGCTCTGCCAGCTTTAAATCATAATGATGGTAATTATGATTATGTTCATGATTATGGAAAAAAAATACCAAAAGCAAAATAGTGCAAATGAGACGATGTGCCTCCATTTCTGATATTATCGGTTTCCATGAATCGCCAGCCTTAAACTCAGAGAACCGATGAATGATGAAATGATTTCGCAGTAGTTTCCTTCAAACCATTCATCACTTGGTAACTCTGCATCGGCCACAAACGCGTTGGAGGAAAACATGCACGGTGAAAACCCCTCTTTGAGGCAGATCTGTTTACGAAGAAGACATGTCTTTCGTGACAAAAATCTTTGCCTAATATTAATATTTCAATAATCTCCAGTATCATTTCAAATTGTCAGGCATCATAAATCTGAGTTACGGTGATTTTTAAGCTCTGTTAGCCTCAAAGCGATGATAAAACAATAGCACTTTCTGTGGCGATTAAAACGATGATGACCCAAATCATGTGATGGATTCGAAGAATTTTAAAACGTACGAAATTCAACAGCTTGACAGAAATACAATGAACCGTTGGTCGTGCAGAAATTATCTTATTTTAGCAGTCAGGGTGTCGAAATCACACTTCAAGAAATGAGCTGATGACTCGATTATTAAATGTGATCATACCTGAAGAAAGCAAAATCCAGCTTCCGCATCTTCCGGCAACGATGCCCTGTAGAACTGCTGCTTGAACAACGGCGGATTTTCGTTGACTCCCGTGACACGGATTATGACGGTGGTGACGCCGGACAGGCCAGGTTCACCTCCTCCGTCGTCCGCCATAACGGTCAAATTCGTTGTTGGATTGATGCTACACTCTATAACCTCTGAGGTAGTGATGAGACCACTGTGAGGATCGACTTTGAACCAGTTCGAATGCCGACTCGAATTCACGTTTAGCAACGAATAGCGTATCATGCCCTTGGAGCATTCGTCGCGGTCCATCGCTTCTACTTGAACCACAGAGGTTCCGGGAGGCGCTGTCTCCTTGACTTCCGCCTCATAGACGGACTTAACAAACTGTGGTGCATTGTCGTTGACATCGAGTAGATTGATGGATAAGTTTCGGGTCATCACAATGCCCATGTAATCGTCGCAGTTGGCTACGAC